AGCAAAACAGGATGTACATTGAAAGTAGTGATTCTTAGGCGGGGTGCAGTTTTGCCCCCTACAGGATATTTGGCAATATCTGGAAATGTTTTTGGTTGTCCTGCTGGTGCTGGGGTGATACCAGGTGTCTAGTGGGTAGAAGTCTGGGATGCTGCTAAACATCTTACAGTGCACAGGACAGGCCCCGCAAAAGAAGAGCTGTGTGGTTCAAATGTTAATAGTGCCAGGTTTAAGAAACCCCAATTTATAGCGAAGCTGGTCAGTGCGTCGATGAGTTTTTCTTCCTTCTCATCCCCCACTCGGAAATATTTATTAAGTTCATAAACTAGACTGAAGAAAGCTGACACCAGACAAATACAGTGATTCAGATTGTGTTAGGGATACTGAAGCAATAAGTTTGGGGATGTGGTAGAGGACGATGGAGCCAGGGTGCAACTGCCATGGATAAGGTTGGCAGAGAGAAGCCTCTCTGAAGAGGAGCATTTGAAATGAGGCCTGAAGGATGGAGAGAAGCCAGCCATGGGAATATCCTTGGGACTAGCATTCCAGGCAGAGGAGATAGCACTGTAAAGCCCTTGAGCTTAAAAGAGTAAATGGAGCCCTGGCCAGTTTGGCTCAGTGATTAGAGCATCAGTCTGAGGACTGAAGGGTCCTGGGTTTGATTCCAGCCAAGGGCACGTATCTCGGTTGTAGGCTCCATCCCAGGCCTAGGTTGGGGGCATGTGTGGGAGGCAGCCCCCACATGTGTCTCTCTCACATCGGTGTCTCTCTCTCTCCCTTCCACTCTCTGAAAAGCAACGGAAAAAATATTCTCAGGTGAGGATAAAAAAAGAAGTAAGTGAAGTGCCTTGGCCGGCTCAGTTGGTTGGAGCATCATCCCATACGTACCTGGAGGCACCCAAACCATGTTTCTCTCTCGCATTGATGTTTCTCTTTCTCTCCTTTCCTCTCTCTAAAAAAAAAAAAAAATCAATAGAAATATATCCTCGGATGAAGATTAAAAAAAAAAAAAGTGAAGTAACAGCATCTTGTAGGAATTTTCTAGAAAGAGAGAAGAAATAGAGAAATAGTATATCAACTGCAGTGTATAGATGTGTTTCTTTTGGCTTCTGTTTTAATTAAGGAAACTTCAAGTGTTTTGTGGGAAAATGGTTTAATGTAGTTATTAAGTGCCTTTTGTGAGCTCAGAAATACATTCCACAGACTACCGGCCAGGAAGAGCATGTTCCTTTCCAGATAAGTCGCCAACTTTGAAACAAACATGTAACACAGGAGCTCATTGCCACAAAGGTCCACCAGGAATATCACAAACACTTGAAGTAAACTATATTTGGTTTCTGTGTATTAAATTTCTTCTTAGCTTACTTAGTAAATATTTGTAATATTTTGTTTGAATCCTAGGATTACAATAAAAAGCAAACTGAAAGAAAATTCTTTAGCTTTTTCCTCCTAAATTCTGTTTGTAAGACTTACAGTTACTGTTCTATTATATTTGTCATTTACTTTGAAATAGTGCCTCTAGAATAAATCAGTAGTATCTTAGACCAAGTTGTATATAATCTGAAAGATCTTTTATATATTGTTATCCTTTATATCAGATTTATTTATTCATCTGAAACTCAGAAGTCTTATTAGTCAGAACTCTCTTAGATGCAGATGACCAAAACCCAGCCCAGCTAAATAGGTAAAGGGGAAATTGGTTGAAAGAAACTAGGGTGCCTTAGAAACCAGACGAAAACGTAGCAGCTAAACTGAGAGAAATGGAAGCTGGAACTTGAGAACAAATGGAATAAGAAACTAATGACTTTAAGACACTTTCTGTGACTCTCCGCTGAGAGTTGGAGTCCTTTTGTTACAGGCTGGCTTCTCTTTGGCAGGAAATAAGGCTGCCACGCCCTCTGGAGCCTCACATTCCGAAGGTTCTGCTACTGGGAACAGATCCTTTGGTCAGTCAGACTCTACAGCTGCCCTGCAATAGCAGCAAATAGGTCACCAGGCATGGGACTAAATGCTGTCCTCCATTAACCCATTTATGAGTTTATGAACCCTCTACAGTGGATGTGTATTATTATGTACATTTTATGGATGAGAAAACTGAGGCATGGAGAAGTCAGGGATCTTGACTAAAGTCACAGCTGGGAAGTGGCAGAGCTAGGGTTTGAACCCAGGCAATCTGGTACCTACCAGAACTGACAGTTATTAGCCACTATATTGTATTCATTGAAATCAGTCACACTGAGGGGACGGAAGGTTTTGTTTTGTTTTTGGCTGAAGAGTTAAACAATGCAAGACAGGGATATGGTTTTAATTTTTTTGTTCATCCTTATAAAAAAAGATAGGACAACTGATAACATAATGAACTTCTTTCAGGCTTTTGGAGGGTTCCATGAGCATTTGTTCAGAGACACGCACGATATGGGTTGCCTGCACAGCATCTTCCCTGTGTGCTGTGGGCAGAGGTACTTCTGCATGGGCCGCTGTTGTGCTTTATCAGTGGTTCCCAACCAGGGATGACTTTGCCCCTAGGGGGCATTTGGCAATATCTGGAGTCATTTTCAGTTGTCATAACCTGTGTGATGACTTACTACTGGCCTCTAGTGTCTGCAGGCCCAGGATGCTGCCACCAGCCCCACAGTGTGAGACGGGCTCCCCTTAACAAGACTTACACAGCCCCCAGTTTTAATAGTGCTAAGGTTGAGAAACTGTGCTAGATACACTGGGCCATTTCAAACGAAGAGTGTCTTTGGATTGAAAAGGTAAGAAATGCTAAATCTCTGAGTATTTGTGGAGAGTGAATAGGTCAGGACCAAGTATAAAGCCAGGTGAGGGTGTGGGGTCACCTTAGGCTAGGACACCTTGAAAGGACTAAATAGTGAAAGATGCTTGCAGAAGGGGAAGTAGGAAAGTAGAGCAGATGAACTTGGCTAGTTTCAGTATTTCCCTGATATCACCTGTGTGCTTACAAGTGAAAAGGTAAGGAAAGTAACCTCTCCCTTCTGCCTCCCTACTATACCTGTTGATGGTCTCACAGGACTAATTTTAGGACAGCATTTCAGCAATGCTCTTGACAAAAATGGGCTAAAAATGGACTCTGTGATTTACTCTGATTCATAACATTGAAGTTGATCAATAAACTGAAAACTGGTTTGTATTCAAAGAAATAGAGCCATTATTGTTTCTTAAAAGTTATTTTGTGACTTTTGGCTTATAATGATGGTGACAGCCGACATTTATTAAATGCTTTCTGTGTGCCACATACTGTGCTAAATCAGTGCTCAATCCCATTGGACTCTCATTAACCCTTTAAGATAGTGACTATGATGATTTTATTGGTGTATTTTATTGATGAAGAAGATGAGTCCCAGAGAGATTAACTAGCCTTCACAAGGTCAAGCACCTAGTAAGCTAAGTTGAAATTCTGGTTTGATTCCATAGACTGAACTGACACCGAATGGTATGCTGCCTCTTTCCCTTGGAGACCGGCACAGGCCTTTCTCCTGTTCTCTTTTCATTTATAGCGGACACTTTGATACACAAGGGTAACCCTTTGTATAGTTGGTCTCAGTTCTTGCTAGTGAGAGAATTTATGTGTTTGGAAGCAGATATTCTGTACATATTTGAAAACTTTAAAAAATTAAAGCTGTGAAATAGTCTTATTTCTAAATGGTTCTTAAAATTTATTGAATAAGTTTAGTAACTAGTTTGAGTAATTGTTTCGATGTGATTATTTTGGAACAATGTTTATATTTTTCTTACTATAAAAGGTTGATATTATTAAACTTTTTATAGTGTATAAGAGAATTAAGATGAAATAGTTCCCTCTTAGGTCCCAGCTCAGCTAATTCCATTTGTATAAAACATTGTACAAAATCTTTACAGTGAACTTCTGTGTAATAGGGATTTTGATATAAAAATCCTACCTCTCCCACTGGGAGAATATTGTTTCGAAAGAGAGGGGACCCTTCATTATTTACCATATTTGTGAGTAAATCGGACTGCTTTTAACATTACTAAGAAATGTGTGTGTTAGTCCAGCCAATAACTCATACATGTACTTTTATTTCCTCTTTGTGGAGTTTCAAGTTAGAGAGACAGGCCACTGTCCAGGGAGAAGGTAGAGGGAGGGGGGACCAGCGCAGGTGCCTAGAAGTGCTAACTCTTTTCAAACTTCTTGTGGGGATGAGTAATAAGATGTATCCTTTCATTGATAATAAATAATGTTACTTTTATGTTTCATTTGTATTTGCCAGCAACTCCATATTTGGAGAAAAAGTATTGAGAATGGGGGAGGGGAGGGTGTCTGTGACACCATAGTCTGACTTCCCTGTAGTTACTGCAACTTCCAGGTTTAAACCTGGCTTCCTGATGTTGTTGACACTTGCCCTCCATGTCCATCTTCACAGAGTCATGGCAAATTCATGGGCAAGATTTATACCATACCTTATTTTTACTGTTTTTCCTCTGTGAACGTACAAAGTTAAAATTGCTGGCTCCCTTCCTGTTGGTTTGCTGTGTTAAAGTTTAAGTTACATACTTTGTATGATTGTATATAGTTAATACTGTTGAATAATCAGTCTGAGTTAAATAATAAAATGCTTGACTAATCTTTGGAGTATAGAAGATGTAAGAAATATTGGTTTATGTGTGGTAAAAATTGTAAATGGGTCATTAATTGATAACTCCCTTCAGTCTTTAATGGTTAAATGTGGTTTGAATACTGTCTTCCTTGTATTCCCAATAGGTTTTGATCTACAGAAGAAAAATATCCCTGTTGTTTAAAAATATGGCCTCAGTTTTACTTACTTGAGAAATCTATTTTGACGTTAATTTAAACCGCGAATATATGCCTCAAATGTTTTAAAGGAGTAACACTAGCATAGACTAATCAAATGTAAATATTGCAAGTTATATGTAACAATCTAATCTTTTTCCATTCTTGTTTTATGTAACTTTTTTGATATGTGGAAAAGAGGGTCAAGAGCTATAAACTCAGAGCCAACTGTGCTTTTGTTCCACATTTTCAATGCCCAGGAGCACATAGACCTGCACCTGTTGGTAATTACGAGCAAGCCAGCCTTTGCCGAGTCCCAGGCCTCTGCTTAAACTTTTTTACTGGAACTAAATGATGTTGCCATTTTTATTTTTAGGTTTGCTGGCATGGGTAATCTCATTAAGGTGCTAACCAGGGACATAGACCACAATGCAGCACATTTTTTCTTGGACTTTGAAAGTAAGTCTCCTTAGCCCTTCACAGCTGGTGCATAATGGTAAAGATGAAAGATTAATTATACTCACACCGCAGTGAAGGCCAGCCAGAATATCTGTTAATAAAATATGGGGAATCAGAGCTTGCATGATTTTTTTCTTAATTCGTAGGCAAACATCACCATCATACGTATAATTCTTTAGTTTTTCATTTGCTAAAATCATGTTGAGTCTGTAGCCAGTGCTGTCTTTTCATTAGTCCATGAAGCAAGTAGCCTTATGATGAACATTCTAATAGTATGCCGTGGTGACTGCACTTACAATCCTGCAATGGCTTTATGAAAAATCAGGAGTGTGCTGCATGTCCAGAATCAGTACTTAAATAACCTCCACAAATTACTAATCCAAATTTGGTTAGAAATATCCACTTTATTTCATGGCATACAGGAAGTAAGTTTACTATTCTATTATTTTAAGATGAAATGCAAAGGTGAGCCAAAACTCTGATATTTGGCTTTGAAATTGTTGTTCAAGTGCAATTTTTAAACAAGATTACATGTGAATAATTCTTGATCAGAAATTTCTTTTTCAGAATACTAGCACTATTGGAATACTTAAAGAATTTTTCATTATAAGGCCATTAATGAAACTTGTCTTGGGAGAATTTTGAGAATTAGAGCAACAGTTGTGCCATTGTGTACAGGAAAACCCCATTTCACCTCTAGGTCCTACACATCAACACGTTGAGAACCTGGTTTGCTGTCTGCCAGAGCACAGTCTGGGTAACCTGAAGGATGAATTCATGGCCTAATGAACATTTTCCCTGTTGCTTTTAAACAAAAAAATCCATTTCAGATGTTCTTTTATAAAGGGATATTCTCTCTTTTCTCATTCTTGTCTTGACAGGTACCTTAACATGGGGAATCTTCTTAAAGTTTTGACATGCACAGACCTTGAGCAGGGGCCAAATTTTTTCCTTGATTTTGAAAGTGAGAAGATGATTTTATATCTATTTCTCTTTGCCTGCAGTAGACTGCGTTTGTCTTGCACTAAATGAATGTTTCCACTTTGCCATCTTTTTAACTGCTTTGCATGACTGAGCTATGAATTGTTTGAGTAAAATTTCTGGTGCCTTCTAGAACTGGAAATCATATTTTATAGAAAAATTGTGGTAAAATGCTTGTATTTGAATTTTTATAAGATTCATATCTTTTAGTTGGATATTATTTTACAATTTGAGATCTCTAATGAAAACATGAGATTCTCTAATGAAAACATTTCTATGAAAAAATTTTGGTGGAAAGGAAAAATGCTAGTTCAAGATTTCTTAATAGAAGCAATATTTAGGGGAAATTACTGCATTTGAGAAAAATTAAATATTAACTCTATGTACCTATTGAAGTATTTTAAAACAAATCTGTTCTCGAAGGCCGTTCAAAGCTCAGTAATTTGGGCATAATATTAAAAGGTAAGTGTGAACCTTATTTAATCTTTGCACATAATTAATTTGAAAAGTTAAGAAACTCATTAAATGTATTTACTTCAGGAGTTAATTTTTTTCTAACTCTAAATGAAAAGAAAATAATGGGTTCACAGACCTTTGAGTGATCTGCCCTCTGCTTGTTTTATGTTGCATGACCTGTTGTAATATGGTCTAAGGGTGGCAGGTAAGTGTCCTTGACCCCATGCATGTGGAAAGCTTTTGCTTTTTTGGCTGTCTGTCTGTATAGGTTTAGCTTGTCTGGTTGTCAAATCGAGAACAATGATATTAAGTTGGTATTTTAATTTTAACTGATCGTTAGGAAATTGTTAGGAAAGGGTGAAGAGAGCACCTTTAGATTGTAAATCATGTGATCTCTTACATTATCCCCTAAGGTTAAAACATTTGAACAGATTTTTAAATACATAAAATTTAAGACCTTTTCTGGTTTTAAAAACAAAATAAACAAATCCCTTAAAATAAATACCCAGAGTCATTGCATTTTTTATCTACTTCAGTTTAGTTTATGTGATATTATGCAACTCATTCTACTTTATGAATAATTTTTATATTTTTTTTCTTTAAACCAGGACAGTTCCTATGAACACAATTTATGGCTTGTCTCCATTTTATGGAATAATTTGTGGTCTCTGATATTTTTTCTACTTTTATTATATTCCTGTCAGTGTTCTGTTAATAGTTTGGGTAGTGTATGCAGGCTAGCAAAGAGTAGTAATGTCAATATCAGGACCATACAAATGTTGGGTTTTTAGGGGAACATGTAGTTAAGGAAATATTGGTTTTCTTGACCCTTCTCAACAATTTAACAAGACTGTTTTAAGTGCATGTTTAGCATGAATTTTAATCAGCTTGGGGATGTTGAGCAGATTGCTGACTTGAAGATTATTCTTTCAGATGAGGCAACTTACATTAAAGCTGTATTTTAGTTTATTTGCATCTGTTTCAGACTTGGTCTTGTATTTTCCTGCTATTCTGTCTCTTTTTTACTCTGTCTCAAATTCCTTACATTTGCAGAATCTTGGCTCTGATACAGTCAAGATCTTGTTCAAGACTTGGCACTTGATCTTTTTATAAATCCAGCTTTATGTTGTGGTCCAGTGAGGAGCATGAGTTTACTGCAGTGTTTAAAATATTATTTGGTCTTGGTTTTCTCATCTGGGATAGGTTTGGGTGATTATCCTTAAAATTTAAATCGCTAATGTAGTGACAGGAAGAGGTCAGAATTGCTAACAAAAACAATTCCCAGGAATGAAGAACTACATATAAAGTGTTAACTTCTTAAAGGCAGCTATAAATTAAAGAATATTTGTTGCCTATATCAGTCAATGTAGAATTTTTGGCTTGACACTTACTGGCATACAATAAATGAAATTTAGTGAAACATTCTGTATACTAGGCCAGAGTTTGCCTGTTATTTCTTATTTAGATTTTTAAATATATTTTCTTTTGATTCTAACTTAATCAGTTTTATCTCTCATTCATTTGTGTTTGTTTTTGTTTGTTAAAAACATTTTTGGTAAAAACAAAACTTTTTTATGTAAAAGTTTACCTTATGATTTGGCCATTAGAGTGATCTTAGCCCATCAGGTGGGTCTTCTTTTAAACTGTTTATACCAGACTCAAAGTCGTCAACATATTTGATGTGCCAGCTCCTTACGATTACAGAGAATAAAGCCACTTCTTTTATTAAATAAAATATTTAGTTCTAGTACATTTGAGACAGGATTTAGTGGAGTCCTGTAGTTTACAAAATAGAGGCTCTGTCTTTATGGTAAGTTATTCCTCCCTTCACTTCACCTCATGCCCCCACGTGCTGGTTTCCACTTCAGCTGGATGTATGTCAGGGCCTGCCTCCTGCGTGCCCACGGCAGGCACTGGGGGTGCAGAGGTGACTGAGATACCACTCCCCCTTTGGGGAGGTCTCAGTTTAGTGGGGTCGTTAAAAAGACAAGTTAATAATATTTTTTACGTAATTTACATTCCAGCTGCAGATCAGGAAGGGATTAACTTTACCTGGCAGGGCGCAGATTGGGCGTCATGGTAGACCTTCTGATGGTCACATTTGAGTTGGGTTGTGGAGGGTGTATTAGAATGTGTCAGACAAATTTAGTGAAGGACATTGTGGAAGGAATATGTGCAAAGGCCTTAAGGCATGAGGTGACAATCTGTTCATTGAAACATACTGCTATCTGTTGAGGTGCTAGAAAGAGGGTCTCTTTCTTAAAACAAGTTACACCTATATGATAAGGTTTTATTTTTAAAGTAATGGTTCAATTAGCATATAAACTCAGATTAGCCTCATAAAATTTGGCAGCACTTAAGCTAATGATAACATATATTAAAAACACTGAATTGGGGCCTGTATACCCTCTTCTAGTTCTTGGAATTTATTTTATAATGACACTGTTAAGTTATTGCTCATTCAAATGACAAATCATTCGCCTGAATAACTAGTATACAGAGTGGGCAAGCGTTGGTTTACAGTTGTGAGTGCACAGAACAGTTTATTCTTGTACTCTTACTAATTATTGTACTTTATTTGTATTACAACTGTAAATCTACTTTCGCCCATTTCTGTGTATATTCACTAAATTGTGGTTCTTAGAAGAGGGACTTTTATTTATTTTTATGTCCCTTCCCAACCTTAGCATAGTGCTTTGTAAATGATAGAAGTTTCATGTTTGTTAAGCTTGATTTACTTATTTTCAGTTAGACCAAAGTAGGAGAGTAAATATAGGTGGATATTTGTAAATGAGAAATACAATCTTACTTTCTCTGATTCTTTGTTTTAGTGTCCTTCCATTTAGTCATACATTTCCTCTGATTCTTGTGTATGTTGTGTTATCTGTCTCCCCCATCTTTTAAAAATACTGATACCTACTTTTTTAGTCTAACTTTATTTTCCATTTTGCCTCTTGTGTATTTTCTATTGCTTTTGCCCTGTACGTTGAAATATTTTTATTCTGGTGGTATTTTCCTGTGTATTTTTTCTAAAATGACGTAGGATTTTATTTGTTCAAAGTTGAAAATGCAGAATGGTGTCCTCTAACTCGTGCTGGAGGCCTGTTTATATCTACCGTCTCTACACCTTCTCATTCACACAGCAGACATTTATCATAGAAAATCTGCTAGGTACTGAGTTTGCACACCATTCAGTGGTTTTCCTGAACACTGAGGCCCCTGCCTTGATGAAAGTTATGGAGATAGAGTATAAATATTTATTGAGTGAATGAGTGAATGAATAAAGATTAAAGCAGATAGACCCCTTATCACAATTATGATTTTTATGTGATTTTCTTTTTCTTTTTTTCTTTTGTAGCTGATCTTTGCCTCCTTTTGTACCATAACAACTTCAATTTTAACAATTATTTTCAGTGACTCTTTTATAGGAAAGTGGTGTGAAATTATTGAAATACTTCATTTCACCTTCAAACAATAGGAGCAACTGAAACATGCTGTAGTAATTTCCCTGGAATGGCTTTTAAATAAGCTTGATGAGTTAGCGCTGTGCCTCCTCTCAGTAACATACATTCTTTTGCAATCAAATGAATATCCTTTTGTTAGATGGCTAAGCAGCAGGTTTTTTCTTCAACTAATACAATTTTTTATCCTTTGCTTGGAAAAATCAAAGTGACAAGTCTTGGGTGCATTATATGATACCATTTTTGAAAAAAAAGCTTTCTTTTATGTAGTCTCTTCTTCTCCCTAGTATCTCACCCTTTTGCATGACTTGCTCTCAGTAAAGTAGTGCTTACCTGTCTGCTCTTTTCTGTTTGTCTTCATTTCCACAGCAGTCTTCAGCAGCTTTCAAAATTATCAATGTAACTCTCCTGTGACAGTCTAACAATGTTCAGTTAGTGTGGTGCTGGGTGCTTTCCCACCCTTGGGCGGGGGGGCGACACAAAGCTTCTCCTTTGTTTTTAAGCTTCTTGGTATTTACTAAATCTTTATAATTATTAAACACTCCCAAGGTCTATTTAAATCTACTTGATAATGTTTCTTTGTCTGTAAGTCTCAGTGTCACATTTTTCTTTTAACAACTAGTCACCACACCAAAAATACATAGTATTTGCAAACTTTATGAATACCTTTTGATCTATATTGTCCTTTGTCATGAATTCTCTCTTCATGAACTTAAACTATGTGTCTACTATTGATGTTTATGTCTATAGTTTCATAATCCACATGAACAAGTATAAAACTGCTGTTTTTGCATGTAAAGAGTATTTTCTCTACTGCACCTGGTGTAAGTATAAAAATTATGAGGTGTCCTTTTTAAAAGTGTGTGTCTAACTATTTTTGGAGAATGTGGTCTGACTAAATGTGAAAGGATATTACTGCTAAATGACGAACTCTGACTTTTAAAATGTCATTTAGCTACAATATCAGTATTTGCTCTTAGTAATTCATACTTGTATAACTTGGGACACAGCCGTTTTAATTGGCTTCTCTTCTGTAATTATTTTGTCATACTGTTTTCATTCCAAAAAAATGCATGATTTATGAAAAGAAATTTGAAAAATAAGGGAACAGATATGATAACGCAGATTCTTAAGTTGGCTTTGCATGTAAATGTTACTTTGTTACTGTTTCTGTAGTGCTGTCTTAAGTATGTTGAAATTAAAATTTGGTACTGTAATTGTTGATTTAAAAAAATATGTGGTAAGTTTTTGACCAGTTGGCAGGTTTAATAGATGGAACTGAATTATGACTTGCTCCAAGTGCAAAATAAAGTTAGAATATTTAGGCACCCGGAGTCCTAGGTTCATCTGTGAACTAAGTTTCCTTAAATTTTCTAAGGAAAGGAATAAATAGATTATTGTTTATTTGTGGAAGGTGGGGTGTCTACAGAAAACTCTTAAGCACTAGTTTTATGTGATTGGTAAACAAAGAGATCAGAAATGTTCTTAACTCCTATTACAAATTTGGTCTACTCCCCTACCCTCATTAGGGAAAACATTAGTTAGCAGGGAGAAACTCTGCCAACACAGTTCCTCTCTAAAACATTATGGTAATTAGAGTGCTTATCATTTTAAGTGCTTTATGCCTTATGTGTAGTCCCGTGGCCTAGTTGGAAAGATTCAAGAAAAACTGTTTCTTCAGAGTGCCCTCCCCCCCCCAAGAAATGTATTAAATAAAAAAGCTTTATCCTTAGAAAAACAGATGACCATGATATTAAAAACAGAATTTCTGTTACCTGGAGTCTAGCAGAGAGAAGTCTAGATTTAGTCACATTCACATGTGTTCTGTGGCTAATACTGCAGGTGGTGGGAATACCCATATGTTTGTGTCCCTCAGCATGCTTTCTGTAACTATACTTTTTCCTCGTTTCTTTCTCACTTAACCTCAAGGATGTTTGAATGCAGTTCTTGCTTTGGCATTTAAAAATGTTAGGGATAATATTGTAGCTAAAGTGTCTAGTTTTCAGTGGCCCAATAGTTCTGGAGCAGTTTCATAATTTGAGCTCCTCTGTGCAGGAATCCTGACTGGCGGTGTGTTCATCAGCAGAGAAGAACATTGGTGCAGAATTCAAAGTGGTCCCTAGAAAAGGGCAGCATCTAAAAAGTATTCTTTTAAAACAGCTTCTTACCACAATTCAGTCAATAAAATGAACTTTACAGGAGAGTAAAGTCGTTTCAGTCTTAAACATAGATTAGCAGGGCACTTCAGGCATTTCACCCCTGTTGCATAAAGCAGATCGGTACTCGTGAACTTACAGTCATTACTGATAGTGATGAACAGAATGAGAAATGCGTTCTTCATGCTACCACAATTTAAATTTTGAATTATAATTCTCAAGTTCACTCAGTATACCAAGTCATGATTTGTAACTAAACTAAATAGTAATGTTTGGTGTTCCCTTGCTTCTTTGTGATATTTATAAACTTGAGGCTAGTTAGTCAAGTGTAGAACTGTGGAAAAATTATCAATCTTTTTCAAGAAGTGCAAAGTTAACACTAATGAAGTGTCAGTCATCTTTAGACATTTGGATTGCTTAGAGTTACATGTGTACTAAAAATTCATGTGACTGTGACTTTTCTTGTGCTTCCCTGCCATTTAGATGCCCAGCCCACAGAGTCTGAGAAGGAGATTTATAATCAGGTGAATGTAGTACTGAAGGATGCAGAAGGCATCTTGGAGGACTTGCAGTCATATAGAGGAGCCGGCCATGAAATCCGAGAGGTAAAGCAACTGGGAGCTCCTGTGTCCCTCTTTTAACCTCTGCTGTTTTCCATACTCTAGAATTCTTTGTTGCATATTAAGTAGTATATTTAAAGGAAGATCATGTGTATTATTTCAAAGGTAGCTGCAAAATAGAAGGAAAACAGTGCTCTGCAAAACGTAATTTATGTATATTAAAGACAATTTTATTTCATTGGTTGCTCTCACACCTGAAATTTACTATGTCCATGGGGACTATTGGTACTTCTGTGGAGGGGAGGAGAGAACGTGACTTTCTTTGGCTTTTTGTTCTGTCAGTCTATTTTTCCTGCTCCTCTTGAGTTTCTCAGGGAAATGCCGAAACATCCTTGTGGTCTGGACTTCCCAGCTCTGTCTGATGACTTTACCCCACAGAGCTAATGTTCAGCGTGGTCTCCCTCAACTTTTTTCTCCAAACCCCTGACCTTATCCAGGTTTCTTTCCATTCATCTCTTTTTCCACTTCTTCTGTTTTTCCAAAGAAGCTTAGTCTCTCTACTTCTTACCAGGACTGTGTTCTCTACCATTTCTCTCCATGCTCCTCTGGGACTTTAGTTCTTTCTTCTCTTTATTATATCTGTCTTTTCTCTTTTGCCGACTTTCTCCTCAGCATAAACACATACCCGGCTCTCCTGTACTACCCAAAGAAATCTCTTAGCCTCTTTTTCTCATTGCCACGTTTCTTGAAGGCATGGCCTGCATTTTGTTTCTTCATTTCCCCCCAACCCTTTGTAGCTAATAGTGCACAGGCTATCAGGGATCAGTCTGTTGGGTTTACACTTCACATCCAGCGGGCTTCCTCCAGTGGCGTTTGGAGTACCAGTGAAGGCAGAATTAAGTGCAGGCACCAGAAGGTGACATTGCGAGAAATGTTTTGGGCTCAGGGGCCACAGGTGTTGGTGACTGGCTGGGTGTTTAATATAAAGTAGGGGAGAGAGTTAAAGGATTGCATGGTTTCTAATTTAGATTAGCAGCTGGTGACATCATTGACTGAGGGAAATCATAGATAGTGCAAACTCCACTCTTTACCTCGTGCCCTCACGGCTTGTTCCTGGATGTCTCACACACATGCACCCCCCTTGCCTTTGCTTTGTCTGGAGCACGCGCCTTTCCTTCTCCTGTCCAGTTCCTGTCCTTCCTTCAGACCCGGTGGCCTCTGCCTCCTCTTCCTTCTTTGCCCTAGCACTTTGCACATGTTCCTTTTATGGTAACCATCACTTTTTTAAAAAAACATTGATTTTTTTTAATGTTTTTCTGTCCATCACTGTACCTCCAGCTTGAGGAGGGTAAACCTGGTTTCTTATTCTTGGGTTGTCAGTGCCCAGCACAGTGCTTCGTAAGCAATTAGTAGCTGTTGAAGAAATAAATACAAGAGTTTAGACTAATCTCTCCACTATCATTAGCTTCAATAAAACCTTAAGATTTCAGTCAATGAAGGAATGTAACCATTTCTGTGAAATTCAAGGTCTCTAGATTGAAATGGTTAAGCAGGAAGCTAATTTACTAATTGATAAGTTACTCTTTCCCTGCAGGTCACACCAATTCACAAATAGTTCTAAAACTGTTTAATGGTCTCTCCCTGTTGATTATTAGTGCTGTAATGTATTTTAAATTGTTCATCAGTGTTATATTATTAGACTTCTTTAAAGTTTGTTTTATAATTGACTTCTTATCAACTAGTTACAGTTGTCTTCATAAACAATAAAGAAAAAATGCCATTATCTTTGTGATTTTTTTTTTTTTTTTTAAGGGAGAATTCTTAGGATTTTTAAAAAACTTCCCCAGTAGAAGGGTTTCTCTGCTTCTGTGCTTTCCCCAGAGTCTTTATGTTGACAGAATTGAATGCACATTAAGATTCATTTGTAGCCTTCTAGAAGAGAGTAAAATAATAGAAAAGTTTATATGTAGGTCATTTCAGAGAGGGCTTGTGGGGCTGTTAAGCCGAGAGCTCTCTGCACTATGACCCAGGATTGAAGTTCCCGTAGGATACCCTAGTCACTCAATAGTGCTGTGCTTTCCTGAGGCGTTCACTCTCAGTGTTCCATGGTTGGGCATGAGGGAAAGTAAATAAATGTTCAGTTTTAAAAAAGAGTTTATATTGAAGAATAATACTGAAGAACACTAAAATATCAGGGGGGATAAAAATCAATGATAAGAGATTCACCTGTTCAGGCTTTGAGACTTATAAGGGCACCATGATTAAACTGTTGGATAAAGGAATTAAGGGCAGAGAAATAGGTAGATAAAATACATATAAAATATGTAAGCTAGAAAACTCTTTAAAAAATGCATTCAGGTGGCCTGTAGATGGGGGATAAATGTGTAACTGTTTAAGTAGTTGAAGAAATTTTCACTGAGAAATATACGTTGATGTTTGGGTTTAACTATATAAGCAGAAAAGATTTCCAAATAGTAAGAAAGCAATTTAAACTAACAAAGGGAGGTACAAATAAAAGCTGACTGTATACCAAATATACAAGGAACAGATACAGCCACCATAACTGTCACAGATCAGTAGGAAGTCTTCATAGATGTAGCAGCTTTCACCTGGAAAGAAGCACGGACACTAGAGAAAATGTTTAGCGTCACTAATAAGTGCACATCACTCAAGTTTTATTAAATATAATGAATTGATAAAAGCTCAGTATTGGTTAGTTTATGAAAACAACAGGTAGTCTTAATGCAAGTGGTACTGTAAAATGGTTGTCTTTTTGGAGGTCATTTGGCAGTGTGTAAAATAGATCTATAAAATTATTTGTACTCTTGCACCAGAATCTTACACTTTAGAAAATATGATCCAAAAGACTAATTCAGGAGGAAGATAAATGTGACAACTTTTATGGCCACTGTGTTCATGGTAACAAAGCTGTGGGATCAGTTCATGGAGTTGTTTTGAGGATAAAATTAGATAATTCATGGAAACAGCACAGCCTAGTATCCGACAAACAGAACACACTAAGAGTTTACCGTTATTACCGTGTTGATATGGAATTACATATGTTTTTGTATAAATAGCATTTTATTAGAACTCCAAATAGAGTAAAATTTGATTTTAGGTAGAATCTATTAAATAAACAAAGCGTATTCTCTAGGATAAACCACTAGAGATGGAAATAAGAACTTTCCACTAATGTATTGATGTATCTGTTAACAGTGTCAATATTTTTGAAAATGAGAGTTGAGATACCTGCTCCTTGATGCCCTCACATTGACATTGACTAAGCACCCTTTTGCATGTTGGGCTATAATTGGTACAGTACCAAAAATACTATGTGACAGCAATAAAACTGATGTGAGAGGAGAAGGAATCAGAATTATAAGGAGAACCATGAAATGCCATAAAAGAGCAGCCATTGTCTTCGGTTCTAAATCCAGGCAAGGGAAGAAAACAGTTAACTGTACTCAGTTATGACAATGGGTGACATTTGCTGGAGCATTTGAGATCCTTGCAAGAAAAGTTGGCTGGGCTTCTCAACAGAAGATAACAAATTTACAATTTTTATCTGCTCATTTCCTGAATAATAAATAAAGTAAATTTTTACTACTTGCTATGAAACATTGCTGAACTGGGCTGGAGGCTAAGAGGACTTTCATATACAGCAGGATAATGTCACAGTTCCCTTAAAATATTCATATTACTATGATGTGAAATAAAGATTGTTACCTGTTGTAATGTCAGATTTTTTTAACATTAAAGTGTTTTTAAAATGTTTTTAAGATTTATGTGAAATCCCATTCACATAAATGGGATTTACTTCAGCCTCCTATTGTGTTTATGCATCATTTAAAAATTTTATATAAAAATCAAGAAAATTTGAATATAGTAGGCAAACTTATAAAGCAAATTCCTTAAACAATATATAGCCCATTTATTTAGTTTGTAGCTAATTTATTCAGAGGACCTTCTAAATTTATCTGGTTTCATTTTTCGTTTGCATTCTTAATTTTTGGTTTTGTGTAGATGGAGGTAGAGTGCTAGCGCCTTGGGAAAATATAACATGTCAGTATCTCCTGATAATGTTTATGAGCAGCCCCCGCAGCCAGCCTTTGTTATAAGTTTCAGCTTTCAGATGGTGTGTTTAGCTTCTTTGAATATGCCAGAGAAAGCAAACCAGGTTGTTGAAAAAGACACAAGTTCCTTAAAGGATTAAGAAAAGCATCTATAAGCAAAAGGAAGATGAAAGTAAGAAAATACATTTCTTTGGGAAGAGCCCTGTATATGTACAAAAGATTGCCTAGTGGTTGGAAAGACCGGCATAGAAAGAGGCACATCCACATTATATTAGGTTTTCCAGATTGTGGGTGATTTTCTCCCCTATCAGATTACCTTGAGGAAACCCTGAGAAAACTTGGGTTCCAGAATAATATTTTAGTTATAGGAAATAAGTATGACAGTTTATGAATCCTATCTTTCAGGTTGATTTGGGCTCTTAAGTGTTTGGTAGGTCTCTTAAAGCTAGTTTGGACCCTGGAAGTAAAATTATTGAAAGTTTCATACCCTGTTCCACAGTTGGCATCTTATTTCAGCTATAGCCTAACTTTTTGGTTTCTTTCTATTCCACTAAAATAATTCTTTGACAGGGAACTGGTAAGAAAGCCTGTCTGTGACATGCAAAACAATGTAAAATGGTTGCTTTTTGTGGCTCTGAAAGGTACCGTGGCATAATATATATAACAGGCATATCTCATGTCATGCATTATATCCATATCCATTGCAAGAATAACTAAAGATGTATTACAGTAGGTTGAAAGTATCCATGGCTTTGAGAAGGCCCACTCTGAGCATTCCTGGGTCCATTATTCTGTATTTTGTAGATTATACCAGTGTTTCTGACATTTGCTGAAACCTGTATTTTAATGTAAAAGTAATACTGTTGTGATTTTTAGAACTCTAATTATTTTTTTCTTTGGATTTTGAAGGCCATCCAGCATCCAGCAGATGAGAAGTTACAAGAGAAGGCATGGGGTGCTGTTGTCCCACTAGTAGGCAAATTAAAGAAATTTTATGAATTTTCTCAGAGGTTAGGTAAGTTGAAAGTTTTGTAATTATGACTTCGCTAGTAAAAAATATACTTATGAACAATACCAGAAGTAATTTAGAGTATTTTATGTTCACCTTGCTAAATTAATATGTTACATACGTGGAGCAAGCTTGTGAGACTGTAGAATTACAGCGTAAACCTAGGTATTTATTTAGACCATTGTCCTCGACAAATTATAACTTCCACAGGGAAATATCTGATTTGATTGCAGTCTAAAGGGTCCTGGCGTGAATGAGAAACCACTTGGTAGAAGTTCTCTCCAGCTGTACAGCAAACCCTTTCCCACATGCAGGAACTAATCTATAGCTCTGGATTATTTAGATTTTGGTGTTCTTAACATCATTGCTGATTGTGATCAGTTCATGGGTCTAAAACTGAACAAATTGAGAACTAGGAAGCTAATGGTGTACCCAAATATCTATGGAGTTATTAAAGCAGAAAGAGTTGAAAACCATTTGCTTTTTCCCTTGCATGGGAAAAAATATTGTGAGATCAGAATTGTGCCTTCACTACAATGAGTAAACAAAGTTGGAATTCCCTTTCTTGGAGAAGGAAGCAGAGATAAGATGTAGGCATTGAGCTGCTTATGTAACTTGAAAGATGTACATGGGAAGGACTTTTCTGTGTGAAATTGTGGACATAGGAGAGGAGCTGTATAGAAGTGTCAAAATTTGAAACATTTAAGTTGAAGCTCTTGACACATGTTTTATATAGTTTTGAGTTTTGAATCTCATGAACATGTTAATGTACTTTAAGTGAATACATGCAGTTTGGTAAGAAACAATACTATTAGGTAGGCGTCAAACTGGGGGCTCACAAGCTTTAGACCTGAAGTGTGATTTGTTTGTCCTATAGTTCTTAAAAATTCCTCATTAGTTGCCAGGTTTAAAAATTGTTAATTATTTGTGTTTTGTTGTTTTTAAGTCTCTAGTTGTTTGGTAAGATCAGTAGCTTAGGCACCAGTTGATCAGCTGATCTGCATGTCAGTTGGCAGGAGCTGAGTGACAAACCATCTCTGTTCAGTACTTAGGACATGTGCCTCCTAGTTTGCAGTCAGTTCTTATCGCTTCCTAGTTTTTATATCTTGCTTTTCATATTCTTTTATGTTAGCTAGTTGGCCATTTGTGTTTGCAACTTTTGCTTTAAAGTTGAAGTTCTTTTTTTTTTAAGCCTATGTTTTTTAAAAATGTGAGAGAATTGCTCTTTTTTCCTTAGATGCAGTATACGCTATTAAATGTAAAGACCAAATGATAGTTGAGATAGAAGTATTCTATAAATTATCCTTTTCTTACTAGAAATAAGAATTGTAATTTATTTTCCCAAGCACGGTAGTCAGCTCTTTCACACTGTTTGCCTTTCAGCCAAGCATTATATAGTCTGTAGCTTGGTAGCCCCAGACCACTGGGCTTGGGGCTATCATGACTCCTTCATATTTAGAGGGTTTTTTTGTGCTGCCAGTTTCTGGTTGCATTTATAGTTGACTTGCTTTAGATGGTCCTCTGGTCCTACTAAAGCTCATTCTGGTCTCAGCATTTGCTAGTGAAAAAAAGAATAATTGTAAAATAGGCCAAATCAGCCAGGCTTACGTGTTTTCTTGTATTTTAACTACTGGAATTAAATCAGGTTCCTGGTATGTGTTCCACTGTGGGTGCTGTGTTCCATTTCAGTAGAGGCACGTAGTAATACAGGGAATAACAGTAGCAAAGAGCTGCCAGTTTCCAAGCTTTCGTGGGGAAGCCTCGAACCGTCATCATTGTACTCTGGGGGTCTCTTATGGGCAGAGTATACATTTAAGATCTCATGGTTTTCCCCTCATCTCTTGTCCAATAACCTGGCTAGTAATGTTTCCAGTTTTCTTGCTTAGAGGATGCATATCCTTGCTTGCATGTGATAGGAACTCAGTGTTTGTCGAGTGAGTGAGTGATGCATTAATGAATACACTCATCTGCTATACAAATATGTGTTGGGTATTTAGGAGAAACTGTGTGGTCTTGGCTACATCGCTTAAATTCTCTGAGCTTTAGTGTCCTGTCTGGCCCTCCATCTTTGAGTCCTCTGCTTTATGTCCACTAAACCTCCCTGGTCTCTTCTCTTCCTGCCTCACTGTTGCGCCAGAGGTGAGGATCAATACTGCAGACAGCACATGGAGCACCACGCTACCATCAAAGGACTGTGGTCCTTCAGAATCCTGCAGCCTCGGGGAGAGGGTGGCTTGGCCTGAGTACTGCAGATACACCATGAGGTGTATTCCAGAAAAGGGACCCTGATCCCTTGTGGCTTGCATATTTATGGAGAGACAGGGAAGGGATCGCTAACTAATTTGGAGGATACTGAGCTTTGCTGATAGAGCTTAACCTTGCTGGCCTGGGAAACACCCTGTTTTTGCTTTGTTGGTCTGAGGCCTTCCTAGTCTAGACATCCTGAGGGAGGTTATGTGACCAGACAGTAGAGAAACAGCCTTGTCTCTCCTCAGTCTTTCTCCCTCCCTTTCCAGGGGCTATTATAGGGACCACCTCCAGGGGTCATAATGAGTTTTTCCATTGCGTTGACTCCTTTTCACTGGGCTAAATTTACCAAAATCCATCAAAAGGTCCCAGAGTGTCCACAATAATTGTGGTCATGTCTCTTGGCTGTCTTAAATCCCCCAAAGATCACATTCTTTGGGTTCTCTTCTGAGGATTCAACACCTGGTCTTTGATAGTAGATGGATGGCAGTTGGTGAGAATAAATGGCTCTGGTCTCTCAAGGGGATCTTTCTGCAGGGGCCTCCCCTTCCTACTCATCCAGTTGTTTCCCTTCATGCTGCGCCTTGTAGACTAATCTTTGTTATTTCTTCTAGTTAGTCTCTTTCTTGCAGTCTTCTTATATAACTGGGTTCTGCACTAGTCTGTTAGCTAATTTCTTCCAGAATTTAGGGCTTAGTCGCTCATTAATTTCTTCCTTGTCATCTGCCTTTCCTAAGAATCATAACTATGTGGTGTTGTCCAGCACCCTCATCACAGTCCCTACATCATTTCTCTTTGACCTCTCTTTCCAACTCATCTAGAGACCTGGGCCACATTCTAGGATCCTCTGTCTTTGATTCCTCTCTTGATACTGAGTGTTTAGGCCAGCAAGACTCTTGTATCAGCAGAGGAACCCAAGACAAGAGGCTGATCTAGCTGCTTTAAAGGCAGATAAGCAGCCTTATCTTGAGTATCCCTTCAGCCATTCATGGACAGAAGTTCTCAATTCATTGGCCATCCCAACTCAGCCATGTGACCTGAGTCTACCGCTAGGGGGCGAGGTCTCCTATCCCCCAAAGTGGTAGAGTGCTTTGAATGATGACATTAACCCTGAGACTGGATAAAATCTAGGAAATGCAAAATTTTTTGATAACAGTCCAGTTTTTTAACCATATTGGTGTGTGTGTTTTCTTAAGTGTTTTTTCCTATTCTCATCTCTCTTAAACTTTGCTTTCCACTTATATTAATGTTGATACATTGAATGAATCTTGGGAAAAATAAACCATTTTTCAAAATAGCCAAAAAATGTTATTCCTCTTAATTGATTTTCACGTCCATGTTGCAGCTCTACGATCCATTCATAGGCCTCCACTCCATTCTCCACACTGCGGATGAGGTGGAGAATTTAAATGCTAATCTGATGCTGTTACACCCCTTCTTAAGTAGTTTATCCAGGGATGTCAGGACAGCAAGGCCAGGATGCTTCATGTGGCACACACATTATACACATATTGTTTTAGCCTTGGTTACTCTCCTCCATGCACTTTGTCCACCTGTATTGTCAGTGCAGTTTGTGTACTATGTCATGCTCTGGCTCTCTGCCCTGTCTCTTCACACAGTCTTCCTCATGCTTAGTGGGCACTCCAGTCTCAGCCCAGATGTCGCCTTTACTCAGGGAGGACTTTTTCTGTAGATTAATATTTTATAAGGTTGTAGAAGGCTAAGTAGAATGCTGCTGTATTTGAGAGACAACTTATTGTGGTGGAAAGAATAGGGTTGTTAGAGTCAGTAATACCTGGCATTTACTAGCTACACCTTTGGGGCCTAACCTCTTTGAAACTCAGTTTATCCATCTGTGATACCCAGGTTATAATTGATGCTGAAAGTTAAGTGAGAGACTAGGTTAAACTTACAATATGGATATTGGTTCATAATTAAGTCTTCATGAATTATAGTAGAGCTGGTATTTTTTAAGGATTAATGATCTGACATAAACTTATTATCATTAAGAAATATTTCTTTATTAATCTGACACATTCATTAATGTCAGATCACCATCTGACTCTGTAAGCTGTTTTCTCTGAATAGAATCTAGCATCATTTTCTGATTCTGTGATCTGTAACTGAATGAGTTTGATTTCTATGACATTTTTTGAATGAAATAACACTATTTTCATTCTTAAACATGGCATTTATTAGCTTGGCCTTCCAAAAGTAGCACTTACTTTAAAGAGACCATTTTACTTATGTAGTTAGAATATTTATCTTTTCATCCTGAGGTGCCAGATTCTTAAGAAACTCAGGTAATTATTAAACCAAAGACTTTGTTTCTCTTAGTAGCTGAAAGAAAGCAGTTTCTACTTAAAAGTAAGCAACATATTAAAGGTATGAGAAGTTGGTCCTTCGTTCATAGCCATGGACAGATTTGACCGTGTGGACACAGGGCCATTGCAGAAGTTACTTAGCTGTAGGTAACAATGACCATTTCATAAACATCAACACTGAAGAATGGTAAATATAGTATAACATGTGCCCTTTGGTCCTGGTGTTTAACTCAGATTACATTTTGCATTATTTTGAATTTGAGTTTATAGAATTTAATTAGTCTCTTTAAGGTTTTTATTGTATTAAACAGTGTTCAATTTGAGTGATTGTATTTAGATAATCTGGATCTTAAAGAGAACTTACTTTCATGGGAATTGAAATCATAACATTTATAAATGGTTCACTTTCTAATTAATAAATATCAGAAGATAATAAACAACATTTTGATCTTTTTTCTTTAGAAGCAGCATTAAGAGGTCTTCTGGGAGCCTTGACAAGTACCCCATACTCTCCCACCCAGCATCTAGAGCGAGAGCAGGCTCTTGCTAAACAGTTTGCAGAAATTCTTCATTTCACACTCCGATTTGATGAACTCAAGGTAGGATTCCTGCTGGCCTTGACTGTATGAAAGTCATGAGTCCTCAATGAACAGGAGGAAGGATGGCCTGGAGACCTTGCTAAAATGTGTTTTAATGATGTCTGATGGTCCTTAGCAAAAATGGAAAACTAGATTTAAAAATTATGGCAGGTGTTTTGATATATGCATAGCAAATTACCCAATATTCAGTCTTCATTTAACTTCATTTAAAAGATATCTCTGGAACAATGTTGACCTTTTCTGATATTTTTTCCCCCCTTTTCTGCTCACCTACAGTTTATCTCAACTTTCTTTTATATAAAAATGTTACAATATTTCCACCCCACTCCAATTTACCTACCTACCTACCTACCTACCTACCTACCTACCTATTGCTAGGAGTGAGTGTAGAAACAGGCACTAGATCTCCCATCAGAAGACCTGAGTTCCACTTCAGGCCCGTCACAGTAGCCAGTTGTAAGGCAGGTCCTTTGACTTTTCAGGTCCATGTCTAGAAAATGGAAGAGCTGGGGTCCTATGGCCAACGTTTTATGATTGAATCTTAGAAAACTGTTCTCTTTTATTGCTACATTAGCACACATGATTTACATATAAAATTTTAGTCTGTCTGAAGATGGTCCTGTTGACAGTGTATGCTTACTTCTGTTGTAATTCCAAAACAAGTGCCTGCAGAGTTTTCCTTGTTTTTGTGTGTTTGGCATTACTATTTTTTGGCAAATAATTGTTTAGTATATTTTGTGAAATTATTGGGGGAAAAAAAGGGGAAACCTATTGACCATGACTAAAGAACAGTCTCTACAGTTTTATGTGTGCAGTGGGGACTGAGTACAGTGTTAATATAATTTACAAAAAAAGCGATCTTGGTGATACCGGTCTTAGTTATTAAAGTGTCATTACAAATTGGGAATGTTACTTTACTAGTTAAAACTGTATTTATTAGATTTTCACTTAATTTTTACAGCATCATTTAGTACATACTACATTTTCTTTCATTACTGTCTTCTTTAGATGACAAATCCTGCCATACAGAATGATTTCAGCTATTACAGAAGAACCCTGAGTCGTATGAGGATTAATAACGTCCCGGTAAATGAACACTTTGAATTAGGGGGTGGTGATAATAACTCATCTCTCAGTTTGCTCTTTTATTTGTTCATTTGCTCATTCATTCTGATAAAGTCAAAGCTAATAATTAATTTAGTAACTATGGACAACCACAGGGGTGGGAAGAAAGAGCAAAGTGTAGCAAACCATACAGTGTTGACCTTTTCTCTCCCAGTTTTTCCCGTAAATTTCTATGACTACTTCAAGTAAAGTTCTTCTTTGTCTATGTGACCTTGATACTTACCAGATTTTTCTATGTATTCTCATTTTAATGGCATAATAATTTGTGAATTAGTGGCTTTGAGTATTTTGTGCTCATATATTCTTAGAATGGAGGACTCCTGGAGAGGAATTGGTCTGGAGTAGAAGTACGAATGCTGGCAGGGGGGAGGGCAGGGTTGTGGACTCTGGGCACTTTTGCGCCTGGCTGGCTGAGAGAATGGCTTCTGTGCCTGTTCCTGGCTGGCACAGCGTCTCTTCTGGTTTCTTCTGTGCCTGTTCCTGGCTGGCATAGCATCTCTTCTGGTTTCTTCTGTGCCTGCTCCTGGCTAGCATAGCATCTCCTCGGGTTTCTTCAGACTTGTGAGTCTCTTGACGTCTCATTTTACACCTTGCTGACCTGTCACGAGTATACGTGTGTTTCCGTGTCAGTGTTGCTGACGAGTCACAAGATAACTCGTGTCTGCACTTATGTTAATTCAAGTCATTTTAAACACCTGCTCATGACTGGTCATGACAGATAAGTAGCTGGCCACATGGGCGATTTCTGGCTCAAAATAGCCAGTCAGCGAGATGTTAAGCTGTTTAATACACTTTCTGTCGCCAAGGAATCAAAACCATAAGTAAAACCTTAAATAGGAAGAAAAATTATCCTTTTCTTGAGGCATTTTGAGGGCCTACATTGTGTGGAAAATAGAGAAATTTCTAGGATCAGCCCTAGCCTCTAGTAGATAGTTTAATAAAGAAATATTATATAGGTATATAAAGAGTGCTGAATGGCATAAGAGGTTAAAAACATACCAAAGGAGCCCGGCTGGCATGGCGCAGCAGTTGAGCATTGACCTAAGATTCAGGAGATCCTGGTTCGATTCCCGGTCAGGGCACATGCCTGGGTTGGGGGCTCAATCCCAGTAGGGGGTGTACAGGAGGCAGCCAATCAATGACTCTCTCATCATTGATGTTTCTCTCTCTCTCTCTTTCCCTCTCCCTCTCCCTGAAATCAATAAAGACACACACATACACACACACACATATATATTTTTTAATATACTTTATTGATTTCAGAGAGAGGAAAGGAGAAGGAGAGAGAGAGATAGAAACATCAATGATGAGAAAGTTATTGATCGAGCAACCCAGGCATGTGCCCTGACCGGGAATCGAACCCTGATCGCCTGGATCCTAGGTCGACGCTCAACTGGTGAGCCACACCCGGCCAGGCAAGACATTTTTAAAAAAACCAAAAACCATTCTTTTTTTCCCCACTGAATGACTGTTTTGTGATGCAGTTGCTCCTAAGACAGGCCCTGGGTTGGAGGAAAGATTTCTCTTCCAAGAAGCAGCTGATCTTTGTGTCAGTTAGGTTTTGCATAATCCATGTCCTGCTGTGAACCTGACCTTATCACCTGCCTTTTTCATACCCACTGTGTAAAATAAAACAAAAGCAGAACATTCAGTTCTCTATTAGAGCCACCCTGCCATCACTCAGTGCCAAAGACCTTGAAGACACCTTTCACTGTCTTCACTGTCAGTGATGATGAGTAAGTCTGGTCTCTGCTGTGTGAAATCTCTCAGATCTCTTCCTGGTTCATCTGCTAATACTTCTATCCAGTTGAAGCCTCATTCTCACTCTCTTTTTGGCAATCATTCTGTAGCAGTAGAACCATTTTCTGACCTGCTGCCTTTTTCTCTTTGGAGCACTCTGCGCACTGCCATCAGCTGACTTTCTTTAGAACATTGCTGTCATTGTCACTCCCTTTTTCTAACACTTTATGTGGTTCACCATCAGACAGAAGACCTTAAGGCAGCATGTAAGGCCCTTTACAGTCTGCCTCCCCTTCCTGTCCAACCTTGTCTTCACTAGTTGCTGCTTCTTATTGCATTGAATACATTGAATTACATGGAATTACACTCTTCCAAGTCACTAGGAAACATGCTTGCTTTCCCTCCACCCCACTGGGTGGACCTGCCCATCATCATCTGCCAAAGCCTAACTCTTCTGTGGGTCCGTTTTAGTTTCTTCCAGTCTAACCTGGTCTCTCTCACCCCTTAGCATGCTATTGTGGAGGCCAGTGTGTTCCCAGCGGGGGCAGGGTGCGGTGTCATGATCGTCTTCCTGTCTTCATAGCAGTTAGTATAATCCCCTGTACACAGAAGGCAGCCCGTCAGTGTTTCATTTCATTGCTTAATATCATTTAAAATGCACGGTGGGGCAAACGTAGGTTTATAGTTGTATGAGAAACAGGGTTTATTCTTGTATTATTATTTGTTAAGTAGCATTTTTCCAAATGAACAACTGTAAACCTACGTTTGCCCCACCCTGTATTTTTAGAGGTTATCTTTTTAAAAAATGTTTGATATCATTTTTAGTCTTTTTTTTAAGGTTATTTATTATTGTTGACAGTATAACACATATCTCCTGTTTTTATTTTTCTATTTTTAAACGATACTTGAAGCTCTAAAATATAGTTTAAGAATATTTATTTGACTAATTTAGCAGGCATTAATGAGGCAGGCACTCTTGAGTACCTTATCCTGGAATCAGTGAGATCCTATGTAATAATCCATGAGCTGATGGTCAGGTGCTTTTTCTTTCCACACAGGCAGAAGGAGAAAATGAAGTAAATAATGAATTGGCAAATCGAATGTCTTTGTTTTATGCCGAGGCAACCCCGATGCTGAAAACCTTAAGTGATGCCACAACAAAATTTGTATCAGAGGTGAGCATTGCCTGGGAAGTTTTTCTCTGTGTTGTTACTCCCTGCCTGTCTGCAGACATGATGATCGCAGTAAGTCCCGTGGCATTAAATGCTATCTCTAAGCTGGTGTGTACACCAAGTGCCATCCCCTTCCCTGAGGCCCACCTGTGCACATGTACTCATCAGTTTTCAGCCTCCCTCTGGGTGTATAGTCAGCACCTCAAAGGTATTGTGACCAAACTAAAATCTCGATTTCCCCCCCAACCCTGCCCTTTCCCCAGTCTCTCCTATCTCAGTTAATAGTACCATGTATAGGCAGACCTCGGGTTATTATGCTTCACTTTACTTCACAAATGTTGCATTTTTTTACAACACGAAGGCAAGACCTTCTACCAGCCAAAAGGTTATGACTCGCTTTATTGCGGTGGTCTGGAACCAAACCTGCATTATCTCCAAGGTCTGTAAAAGCAAATAAGTTATGGCTTATTATCCTAAATTCCTTTCCTTTTTTTTTTTTTTTTTTTTTTTTTTTTT